AAATTAATGATGAAAAAAAAAAAAAAAAAAAAAAAAAAAGAAAGACGTAATAGAAGCAAAGAAATCATAACAAAACGATGCATAATTAAAAAAGAATTTCCCAAAGATAAAAAAAAAAAAAAATAAAAACAAAAATAATAAAAGGAAAAAAATTTATTATATGTTTTAATGAAACTATTTAGCATATATTTAAAAACAAAAAAAACTACTAAAATTTAATAGTTAAAATCATTTTCACATCGTTGAATTTTTTATAATAGAAAAAAAGTGTAAATATTATTAAAAATTCCATAAAGCTATTAAATATATTTAATTAAAAAAAAAAAAATCCTAAGAGCTACACATAAAGAAATTATATAATAATTTTACATAATATATATATCAATTTTTTTTTTTTTTTTTTTTTTTTTTTTTTTTTTTTTTTTTTTTTTTTTTTTTTTTTTTTTTTTTTTTTTTTTTTTTTTTTTTATTTTTTTTTTTTTTTTTTTTTTTTTTTTTTTTTTTTTTTTTTTTTTTTTTTTGTTTTTGTTTTTATTATGTTTTCTACATATTTTTGCACATTGTTGTTTTACAACTATATATGCACACATCATTCTTATTCAACTTATAAATTGTACTATATTTTAAAAAAATAAAAAAAGCATTAATATTTTTTTTATATACATTAAAATATACTAAAATAAATATTAAAAAATTATTTTTATGATAAAAATAATTTTAATATACTGTTTTCTAAATAATACATATTGTATAAAAATGTTGCATATAATTAAAGAGAAATGAAAAAAAAAAATTTTAGTAAATAAAAAATTAAGTTTTTTAATGAACCCATATGATTTTATCTAAATATAATTTTAATCTAAATAAATGTTTACATTAATAGAAATAAATATATTTGCATATCATTATGAAAAAAAAAAAAAAAAATAAATAAAACAGAAAAAAAAAGATTTATAAATAGAATTTTATTTTTCTAATTTTCACAATATCAAAATTTATGACAAAAATGATTTTTATATTTAAAAAAAAAATTTTTAGACACATATTTTCCTGAGTCTAATTTAGAAGAAACTTGATTTATATGTAAAAACTATACAGAATGAAAATAAAGTAAAAATATTTTAAATTATTTAATTTGTTTATATATTACTTTAAAATATTTTATGAAAAATATATATTATATACATTTATTTTATATGGATATTAAATGTGTATTTGACTTTTTTTTTTTTTTTTTTTTTTTTATATATGTTACCTTACAATTTTAAGAATTTGTTTTAAATATAAAATAACATTGAATGAATATTTCCGAATTTATCTTAAAAAAGGAGGAAGAAAATAGAAAAAAAAATAAAATAAAATAATTAGATAAAATAATAATTAAAATTTTCCTTTAAATATATCAAGCATTAGTATACAAATTTTTATTTACACACACAACACACTAAATTAATTATAACATAGATTAAAAAAATTTCATTTTATATATTTATTTTTTTTTCTTATATTTTTATTTTAAAATCTTCTTTTATATTAACAATGGATAAACTATTTAAAATAAATGATGAAGTCATAATTGATTTAAACAATTATCATGATAAAATAGATGAAACAGAAGATTTAAACATTTTTGAAACAAATAATGAAGACGAAGTAGCTTATAATATAAATCATGATAAAGATTTTGAAAAAATAGAAATAAAAAAATATGTAAATATTTTTGTTGATTTATTAAAAGATAAAAATATAAAATGTGTCAATTTTATGAATTTAATTAACAATATTGAAATCATTAAAATTTTTCAAGCTATTAACAATTCATATATGAAAAATGAAGAATATCATTCAACAAGATTGATGATGCTAATATTTTTAAAGAATTATATATTTGGTTATGTGAACACCTATATATGTAACATTATAAAAAGTTACGAAAAAAATAAATATAAAAAAGAAATAAACAATATTAATAATTTAATATATAGTAAAAATGATGAAAACTTAAATGATGATATATGGAATAATGATGAAGAAATAGAAAAGAATAACTCGGAAAATAAGCAAAATAAATTCCTATTGATTCCATTTTTAAGTAAAAATATTATAGAAAATTCTAAGTTATTAGAAAGCTCAGATAATAATTCAAATAATATTAAAGAAGAAGAATGGATTTATATAAAAGAAAATATTTTAAAATTAATTAAAAATTCTTGTATAATAAATGATAGAAAATCTGATAATCCTACTAATTTTATTAATTTGATTAATGAGAATATGTATAAAAATTTTAAAAAATATAATAGTATAATTGAAATGAAGAAATTCAATATATGTTTATTTTTTATTGATATTTTTTTTAGCATTTTCCTAGTAGATTATCCTTATAATTGGAATAATTTAATTGGAAATATATTTGATACATTTAATTTTATTTCTATAATTAAAAATGATGATTTTACAAATATAATTAATACAGACTACCACTCAACTATGAATTATATTATGCATTTAATTAGATATAATGATTCTTTTAATTTAACCAAAGAAATAGGAAATAATAATATTACAGATAACTATATTATGGTGATACATTTTCAAAAATTCTATTCTTTAATAGCTCTAATGAGCAAAATTTTAAAAAAATATATTCCTCATATTCAAAATTCAGATTACTATTCTATTTTATATCATAATTATTATATTTCTCATATAAACAATAGTAATAAAGATTTATTAGAAACAAAAAATTATAGTAATTTAAAAATACCATGTGAAAATTTATTATATGGATATAGGGAAATAATGAAAATATTTTTTCCTTTTTTTAATAGATTACTATGTTATTTATTAAATTATACTAACAATATTTATATTATATTTATAATTAAAAAAATAATAAAATTTTTATATAAAACTTTATTATGCCACTTCACTATGTTACCAGAAGAAGTAGAAAATGAACATGAAATATTGTTCACTAATATAATGAAAATAATAGATATCAATTTGAATGAATATATAAATAATTTATATTTTATAAATATAAATATGTCTAATAAGCCTAACATATCTGTTTCTAAGATAACTGAAGAATGTTCTTATGAGAATTTAAGTGAATTTATTCATAATGAAAAAAATGATTTAGATAAGTTATTTTTAATAATTTTGTTGAAAACTAAAAAATGGTGTTTAAAAATTTTAAATGTATTTTTATATAGATCTCTTCACTTTGAAGATATGAATGAAACATGGAAAATATTTTTGAAGCATTTTGAAAATAAACATATTATATTTTTAGAAAAAATATCCTTTTTAATATTAAAAATAATTATAAATACTACATATGAAGAAGAAGAAAGAAATAACACTCATAAATTATTTAGTTATATAAAATATATAATTGATTTTACTGATTATTTAAAATTTGCTGATAAATGCTTATCTCTTTCATTAAATTATTTATGTATGATTGTTTCATTAGATCATTTAAAAGTTTTTGTAAAACAAAATATTATGAGTGAAATTTTTATGAGTTCACTTTTTATTCATATTAATAGTAGCTCACACATAGAATGCATAGATGTAAAGAGAAAAAATAGAAAAAAAAAAAAATATATATATATATATATTCCTTATATATGCTGAATGTTTATAATATATTCTATAAATATACTATTTATTTTTTTTTTTTAAGTTAGTATCTTTTAATATTATCTATTCTTTTGAGAATTTGAAATAGACTCATTTTCATTTTCATAATCATTTTTTTTTTTTTTTTTTTTTTTTTTAGAATTTTTTTACTAACAACATAGATGTAAAGGAAGAAGCTGCTTTATTTGAAAATTTAAATTTTGAAAGATATATTTTATGTTTTGGAAGAAATTCTATATACATTAAATATTTATTAAATGAATACCATGATACAATATCAAAAAGTGTATTGAAGAAATATGTTAATTATATAATATTTTTATTTTGTGAATTATTAGAAAAATATTTTTATGATATTATATTTTATTTAGATAAAAATATAAAAGATAATTTAAAAAAATTTTTAACAATTCAGAATGAATATATGAACTTGTTATATCCTGAAATTTTTTTAAATAAAGAATTAGATTTTTCAAAAGACAATATAGAAATTAACAATTATAAGAAAAACAGTTTTATATTTAACTCAGAAATATGTATGAAAACGGGGAATTATAGTATTTCTATAAGTAATATAATTGATTACATTTCAGTAATAATAAAAAATCATATGGAGGAAAATGGAATTGATGATGTATATGATTTTACATCCTTTAATAAATTAAACAATGATATATTTAATAATTTGATCTTTATTATTAAAAATTTACCATTATATAAATACTCTCAAGAAGAATTAATTTTTAAAGATTTATATAGCAAACATAATGAATATAATTTAAATTTCAGTTTTCTTATTATAAATGATGTAAATTTATACAAGTTTTTCTCTCTATTTATGTTTTTAACTTATTATAAATATATATTTATTAAAAAAAATTTAGAAAAAATAATAACAGAAGAAACACTTGAAAATAAGAATGAGGAATATATAAAAGGTGTAGATAAAGAGGATATAATAATTGATGATTACATTGAAGAATATTATAAAAATATAGATAGTTATACATATTATTTTAATAATGATGATAATGAAAAGAGAAAATTTGAATGCATTATTAATGATTTTAAAATAAACGATAAGTCCTTTTTTCTTAAATATATTCTAATAAATATATATCACCCATATTCAAATAACTTAAAGAGAAAGGTTATGTGGATGTTAAGAGAGTATATTAATATAACACAGTTCAGTGATAATATTATACAATTTTTTTTTTATAGTTCTTTTATTAATTTATTTTATTTTGAAAAGCATTTAAAATTTCAATCGTTTGATACCCTCATTAATTTAATGCATAAATTTGGTATTCCAAGCAAAATTTTATACAATGACTTTAGAGAGATTTTAGTATTTTTATTTTTTCAGTTATTAATTTTATATATAAAAAAAGAGTCTAATTCAAATGATAATGAATTTTTTGAAGAAAATATAAATGTGATTCTGAGTGAAAATTATGAAAAAATTAATTTTTTAAAAAGCTTTAGAGAGAATGTTGATTATGATTTTAGATGTGATAGCAAGGATTTAAATAAGAATTATATATTTTTCCAAATAAATTCATTTACTGATAATTTTATTAATGATGTAATATCAAACAATTTGCATTTTTATTTAGAAAAAATAGAGGAAAACAATTTAAACAAATTTTTGAAATTTATATCTCTGTTTTTTCAAAATGAGATTAATAATAATATATTTTTATATATTAATTTACTCAATGAATCTCTATTAGATATTGCTTCGTATATGTCAAGGAAAGATAAGGAATATTTTTTTTTGAGAACGTTAAAATTTTTCTCTTTTTTTTTAGAACATTATAAAAATGCATGTAGCACTCAGGATATGCTAATAATAAGTATTTTACAAAATGAAAATTTCATATTTTACTTTAAAAGTGTAGTTAAAGAAAAAAATACTGATTTGAGAGAAGAAATATTAAATGAAGTTTTTTATATCTTATATATTTTTACAAAAAATTCTTTGTCTAATTATAAAGTTTTTTGGTTTTATTTTCTTTATTCTTTAGAATGCATTTCTAATAAATTACACTTTTTTCATTTGGAGGAGATAGATAAATTAGAACAAATTCCAATTATGCCTATATATGTGTTTCAATTTTTTAATAATTTAATTAAGAGAGATATTTTTTATATATTTTTTTCTTCTGCAGATCAACAACCTTTTACTGAAAATAATTTAAATATAACAATTATGGAAATTTTAAGAAAAATCAGTTTATTACTAATTACTTTATCTGATGAAAACTTAAATGAACAAAATTTTTGTCATAATAATACATTACATATATGTGGTTTATATTTATATAATAATATATTATCATATCTTATAATGTTTTTAATAAAAAATAATATTTTCTTTACATATTCATTATGGAAAAAATTAACGAAAGCTTATGAATTGATTCAAGATGACAATGAATTAAGTGATATTGATGATGTTGTTTCAAATTATTCATTCGAAACATTTGATGAAGCAAATAAAATTAATAAAACATATAATAGTAGCAAATCTTATTCTTTTGACGAGAAATGCGTTAATGAAAATAATGAAGAGAATGTAAATAATTTTCAGTGTAATAATAATAGTAAATTAAATTACTCTAAAAAAAATGAAAGAAATAATTCTGATGATTTTGAATATGAACAAAATGACCTAAATAATTCTATAAATGAAAATTATGAAAAATTAAAACAAGATGTACTATTTTATTGTGGAATAAAAAACTATTTTCTAAATAAAAAGAATTCAAAAAAAAAAAATAAAAAAAAAAATAAATTAAATTGTAGTAATGTTGATAATCATTTTGTAGATAATAATAATTTTGTTGATAATAATAATTTTGTTGATAATAATAATTTTGTTGATAATAATAATTTTGTTGATAATAATAATTGTCAAAATAAACAAATTATGAAATTATTGAATACAATTTATTTTAATATTTTTCTTTTAAAAGATAAAAAAGAAGAACACATTAAAAAACTACTAAAAACATTAAAGTATATAAATAACAATATAATCTTAAATAGCTCGCAGAATTATTATAATATATTTATAATGCTATTAATGCTTCAAAATAAAAGATATATTTATCAATCGTTGGCTATGTATATATATATAGATATAAAGAATTTTTTTGATATATTACTTGAAGAAAATGTTTTTGTGTCTATTATTGATGAATGGTTAAATGATATATTTTATATATATCAAAATTCTGATGATTTGAAATACTTTATTTTTGCTTTTTCAAATATATTAATATATTTTTGTTTGTATCACAAAAGAAAAAATACCTTTAGCAACGGAGATAATAATGAAAAAATAAAAGAATTATCCTTTTTAAAAACAGATAGTATTAATAATTTTGATGATATTTTAAAAGATATACATATAGAATATTTCAATGAATATGTTATAGAAAAACTAAAGGAAAGATTAGACAAAATTATTAATGTTCTAATTAACGTTATTTTAATTTTACCTATACCATATGAGGAAAACATTAAGGTTGTTAATAAAAACTTGTTACGTAGATTGGCACCTATATGTGGTGAATTTGAAAATATAAAAGATGATAATTTATTTAAACTTAATAGTGGAAGTAATTTGAATGATAGTAAAAATTATTTAAAAGAAATTCAATTTGAAGATCTAATGCAAAATATTGAATTTATGCATTTAAATAATTATGAACAAAAATTTTATGAAAGAAAAAAAAATACATCTTTAAAAATTCCTTATAGTAATGTTGTTCATATTAATAAAATGGAAGATTTACAACTTCACGAAAAAAAAATATCTGTAAATTATTATTTTCAGAATAATATTAATAATGATTTTATTAATAATTTAATATCTGAATGTAATTGTGAGTATTTTAAAATTTCTTTTTATGTAAAAAAAGCTTTTTCACTATTAACTCAAGATATTTTTACAAATGATGCCTTAATTAATATAATTGGATGTTCAGATAAATATTACAACTTTATAAATATAATTCGTTTAGATATATAAAAGAATTTCAATTAAATTTTATTTAAAAACTAAATAATATTACTTATGAAATGTGTGACTAAATAAAATGAAAAGAAATTTAAATTTAAATTTAAAAAAAAAAAATATAGATACTTTAAAAATATTAATTATACTAATAAACGAGACAAAAAAAAAAAAAAAAAATAAAACATAAGAATTTTTAACATTTTTTTTATTTCTCAAATTTATTCTTTTTTTTTTTTTTTTTCTAAATAATACAAAGAAATAAACTCATTTAAAAAGATATGCATTAATATAAGACATATTTAAAAAAAAAAAAAAAAAGTGAAAACAATGTAAAATTATAAAAATAAATGTTAAAAAGCTTTTCATTCTATACGTCCATTGCACCTGAGTGTTACTAAAGGCAACTATTCAAAAAAAAAAAAAAAAAAAAATAAAATAAAATTAAATTCAATTAAAATAAATAATTTGTTAAATTAATAAATAAAATTGTAAAGAATAAAAAATATAAAACATAGAATGATATAATATACGATTATATATATATTAACACATATATCCCTTTATTATTATTTTTTAAATATGTAATACTTTCTTTTTAATTAAAAGCTTATATTGGATTCTCTCATTTTATTTTTTTTTTTTTTCTAAGTAAAAAAAAAAAAATAATAACTTTTTATTATCCTCATATAATAGAATTTTCCACATTTATATATACTTACTTAAATTATTTAATTTTTTTTTTTTTTTTTATCATTAAGAAAAAATATAATTTTTGTCAATTTTTTAAGAAAGTTTTTTTATTTGTTAATTTTTATTTTATCTTTGTGTCTATAACTGTTTTTTTTTTTTTTTTTTTTTTTTTTTTTTTTTTTTTTTTTTTTTTTTTTTTTTTTTCTTCCTTTTATTTGTTTTCAATTGTGTTAAAGTATGAATAAAAAGGATAAAAAAAAAAGTATAAACATTTAAAAAATAATTATAATCTTTAATATGGAAAAACGTTCATATAATTCAATTAATTTAAAATTAGTTGGAAATACTTTTGGTAAAGAAAAAAACAATTTGTGTGATAACTTTGTATCAAATTATGAAGAAAATGACAATATAAAAAAAAGACTGAAGTGTAATAATTTTGATATTTTAAAAGAAGAAAATTATAGTAATGAAGTATTCTTAAAATTAAAAGATTTTTATAAAAATAATCATAATATTAGTTGTAAAAATGACTTTAACTATGGAAAAAATAAAAGAAAAGGAAGAGAATATACAGACGAAATGATAATAAAAGAAAAGAGAAAAATGAATACGAATAAAATTTATAATTTGTCTAAAAGTGCTGTTTCTGATGAAGATATAGGAATGATAAAGAAAAAATATTTAATTAAAAGAAGAAAAAACATTTTACATAAAAAGTTATATTCTAAATCTGAGAATAATTCTAAAGTTAAGTATAATATAGGAAAACATAATAATCAGTATAGAAAAGTTGATGTATATAAAAAAAATAATTTCGATAAAAATTGCATAATTGATATTGTAAAAGAAGAAATAGAAAAAAAAGAAAAAAACAATGAATTGGAAAAATTGTTAAAAAAAGATAATAATAAATACGAAAAGAGTAATAATTGCGAAAAAAGTATTGATAATCAAGGAATTAAAAACATGAAGTATGAAGAAAATGAAAAATTTGAAAAAGAAAGAAAAAATTGTAATGAAGAAAATGAAAAATTAGAAATAGAAAGAAAAAATTGTAATGAAGTAAATGAGAAATTAGAAATAGAAAGAAAAAATTGTAATGAAGTAAATGAGAAATTAGAAAAAGAAAGAAAAAATTATAATGAAGAAAATAAAAACAATCAAGAAAATAGAAAATATGAAAAATTAATGAAAAAAATAAAACCAAATTTGTGTGAATCTGCTTTTTTTAATAATCGTTTGAATTTTAAAGAAAGATATTCTGATAAATATGGAGAAAAAAATATAAAAAAAAATGAAGAAAATTTAAAGTTAGAAATAAAATATTTCAAAGATGAAATAAATAATAAAATTATAAATAATAAAAATACAAATAATACTTATGTAAATAATAATCATGCAAATATTTACAAATATAATAATAATATGATAGAGAAAGAAAAAGTTAGTGATGAAAATGAATTTTTTAATTACGGTAATAATAATGAAGGTAAAATATATGAAAAAATAGAAGATAATTTAATAAATAACAAGAAAGATATAAATATTCATACAAGTTTAAAAGAAAAAATAATAAATTTTAGTGAAGATGCTTACAGTAATAGAAATTCAAGTTATCTAAGTCTTAGTGATACATTAACTTTATATGATAAAGAAAAACTACTAAAGAAGGACAATAATAATAATAGTAATAATAATAATAATATTTTTGATGGTATTAATGATAATAGTAATCATATTAAAAATATAGATAACAACAATACTATTAAAAATAAAATAATAGAAAAGAAGAAAAAACTAAAAAGTATTCATAACGAGATTTTAAATTTAATGAATGAAAACGATTTAGACAAAAAGGAAATAACAATTGAAGAAAAATGCCTATTAAAAAATAAACAGATAGAAGAAACAAAAAAAGAAGAAATAGATCAAAATTTTATTTTTAAAAATAATAAATATACTTATTATAGTTCATTAAATATAAATAGTAAAAATTGTGAAAAAATAAATAATGATAAACAAATTTTGAATAGTGTTTGTAAATTTAATATAAGTAATAGAATATATGATGATAATGATAAAAAATATTGTTATACAATTCCTAATGTTTATGATAATGAAGATTTTTCATCAAATAAATTATTCCAATCTAAGAAAAAAGATGGAAATTTCAAGGAATATATCAAGAATAATAAAATAAAAGAAACGAATATTCTAGAAGATAAAAAGGAACACATAAAAAATAGAATAAACTTAACAAATTATTTTGTAAAAAATATAAAGTTAATATATGAAAGAGAAAAGAAAATATTAGAAGTAAATATAAAATTCATTGAGAAATATTCTTACTTTAAAATAATTTTAAATACATATAGTGAAAATCATTTAATAAAAATGGATGATCATATAAATTTTAAGTTATCAAAAATTTTATTTTCTAAAGATATAATAGATAAAATTAATAAAAAAAATTTTAAAAAAATTATGAAAGCTTTAGACTTTTATGGCTATTTTTACAATAATACTTTTTTAAAAAAACTTTGTAATAAAATAACTGTAAATAACTGGTTAAGTAACAAAAGGTTTTTTTATGAGACATTTAAAAAAAAAATTCTACAAGTTGGTATTTTTTATGATTTAATATATCATTTTTTATATCAAAATAATATTTTTGTGAACTTTTTTTTTACTAAAAAAGGCGGAAATTTTATGAAAACATTTTTATTATATGACAAAAATAAGGCAATGAAATTAATTAATAAAATAGTAAAAAATTTAAAAAATATTAACCCACCTACTAATTCAGTTGTAAATTTTTTATGTGGTTTTTTTATAGAAGAAGATAAAACAAAAAAAACATCACTAAAAAAAATAAAAAATCATAACTATCAAACTGATATACATTTAAAAAGTAATAGAATGAATATAAAAAAAGATAAAAATATTTTTAATGAAAAGCTTCATGAATTAAATCAAAAAATTAAAAGGGAATATAATTTTTCAAAAAAAAAAAAGAATACATATATTTATATAAAAAATTCTAAATTTAAAAAAAGAGTATTAAGGAATATTTTAAATAAAATATGGTTGAAGACCGATTTATATATAAAGGAAGAAGTATTTTATGGTCAAAATTTCACTATNAAAAAAAAATTAAAAAAGAATAAAATTAATAATTTAAAAAAACTAAATAACCTTATATATGATATCAATGATTCAAGTGAGTCTAGTGTGTATTCCTTTTTAACTGATGAAGAAAAACATTATAACTTTTATAAGTCAGATGAATATAATTTAAATTTAAATGAGCAATTGAATGAAACATTTCGTCATTGTATATATCAAGAAGAAATAGATGATGATCAAATTATTCATGAAGATGACAACCATGAAAATAATCAACGTAATTATTATGAAAATAATGAAGAAAATATAGAAATTGAAACAAATAGTATTAATAACAATGTCAATGAAAATAGTTTAAAAACTTTTCATAGTTTAGATTGTATTCCAAATATATCTTTTGATTTATATTATGAAAATAACAATTATTGTCAAAAGTAAAAAAAAAAAAAAAAAAAAAAAAAAAAGACATTATAAATAAATGAGTGTATATATATATATATGTGATAATTAACTTATACTTTTATTAGTTTAAAACATGTGAAAATTTTTATATTTTTATATATATTATTTTATATTTATTAATGTAAAAATTATTATGTAATTTTATATTATATTATTTATTTTTTTTTTTTAAACTTTCTTTAATTTTAGAGGAAATTCGTTTTTATCATTATGTTTCAAAGAGGAAGAAAAGTGTAATACAAATAAATACATAAAGGATCTTTCATTTTTAGGAATTAGAATTAGTTCAAAAGAAAATAAAATAAACTATTTTAATTGTTTTGATGTTAATTTAAAAATTAAAATAAAAAATCATTTATTAACTAATATAAGTTATAATATATCAAAAGATGATGAAAACATTTCTGCCTTTTTACCAGTATGGCCAAATAACCCTGACTATTTTGGTTTTAAAATAACCAAAAATATTAAAAAAGAGTTTAACGAAATAAAAAAAAATATAATGCAAGAAAAAGGAGAAAAAAAAAAAAAATCATGGGATATAATTATTAATAAAATGAATAATAGAATAATGAAATTTGACGAATGTATAAATATATTTGAAAAAGAAAATAAAAAGAAAAATGGTTTAGATTTTAATATGTACAATATTTCCAACAATGATATAGATAAAAATAAAATAACAAATATAGATGAAGTAAAAATAAAAGACTGTAATTTTTTTTTAAATATAAAAATGTATCCTATTCGTACTTTAGTTTTGTATATATTATATAATTCATTATATAAAGATAAAAATTTGAATTTTGTAGAGTTTTTTTCTAATAGTATAAATAATGAAATAAAGGAATGGTTGTTATTATTTTTACTACCTAATTTTATTAACAAATGCATATATAAGGTTACATATCCCTTAAAATTAACAAAGAATATATTTACTGAATCTAATGAATTTTATGAAGATTTTTTCTCAAATGAATATTTAAAAATTAATGATATTGAAAAAATTATAATATATACGAAAAATAATAGCGAAGAGGAAATTGAATTTTGTCCTTATTTTTTTTGTTATACATGGTTAAAATCAAGTAAATATAAAATTGATAGATGGGTTAGTTCAAAAATCAATGAAATTCTCTTCACTTTCCCATATGCTAATTTTTTATTAAGTAAATACTTTTCTAATTTTTTATTATTTATTCAATTATTTAAGACTTGCTTAGATTTAGATCATATGTATTTGTGTAAATCTCATTTTTATGTTTCACTTAAACATAATATTTCTTTTTTACATGAATCAATAGTTAATGTTTTATTTTCAGTATCTGGAAAACTAAAAAACATTTAATTTCAAATTTAATTTTTTATATAGATAAAATATTTTTTTTATATATTTTTGAATTTACTTAAAAGCTTATTCTTACAATTTTTATAAATATTTTTAGTTCTTTTGTTTTTTAGTTTTTTTTTTTTTTTTGTCATTCATTTGTTTTGGTGTTTATTTTTGTTTTTCTCCTTTTCTGTTTTTTTTTTAATTTTTTTTTTTTTTTTGTGATCCTATGTAAAAAATAAGAAAATCTTAAGGCTAAAGAATTTAATAGTAGTATCTTACAATTTTTTTTTTTTTTTTTTTTTTTTTTTACTTTTAGAAAGAATTAAATCTAAAATAAGATATAAGTAAAATAAAATAAATAACAATAATTTGAAATTATTTTCAAATATTAAATTATTTAAGTTGTATTTTAATTATTATATATATGAAAACAAAAGTTTTCTAATATTACACGGAAACAAATATTTGTAATATATTTTTTTTTAAATTTAAAAAATATAAATATAATTGATATCTTTCCATAGAAGCATTAACTGAGTTGTTATATATGAAATGTTATGTTTATAAATGTTTAAATGAAAAAAAATAGTAATAAATGCAAAATTAATTATCATGAAGAAATATTTACTTATAAAAATATAGAAAAATATGATGAAGATGTTGTAGATATAGATAACAATTTTTTAAAAGTTCGTAATAAATATTTGAATATATTGAGAGAAATAAATAGATATGCAAAAAAAAAAAGAAAGAAAAATAATGTAAAAGAGTTGGAAAAAAATAATAATAAAATAATTACTAATATTAAAAATGAACTAAAATATATAGACATATTAATATGTGGAGATAAGAATAGCGGAAAAACTACTTTTTTAAGTTGTATAAGTTGTGTAGATTATTCTAAAACTAATATGTATAATTTTACATTAATTAATAATAAAACAAATATAATAGATGGACAAAAAAAAAAAAATAAGACAATAATATGGAATTATAATAAACTAGAACTATTATCTTATATACCAATAATTTTTTCAAAGCTCACAAATAGAAATTATGACGTTTTTAAGAAAGAATTTAAGAAAGATTTTTTAGATACAGATATTTGTGAATCCTCCATTTTCATAACAAGAGATGATTTAAATTTTATTAATTATGAATTTAACTTATGCAATGATTCTTTTATTAATGATTTTGATTATATTAAGATAAATTTTTGTGAATATGGTGAAGATCTTTTTCGAAAAATAAAGAACTATTTTAGCATACAAAGGAATTGTAGAAAATATTTAAAAATGAAAAACGAAGATAAAGGAACAGATATAAATAAAGAAAAATATGAAAAAATAGAGATCTATAATAAATTGTGTAAATTTAATAAAAACGTAAAAAAATTATTTTGTTCTTATAAAATTAGAAACATAATTGAAACAGCTTTACTAAGAATAAAGGAAACAAGATATATTAATTATTTTATTAATTTAAAAAAGTGCTTTTTGTTAATTAAGTCGAGTGCACATATTTACAACCTTATGACAAAAAAAGAATTTAAAAAATGCAAAAATAATATAAAAATTAAAAAGAACAATAAATTAACTTATAATTCATTAGTGTGTAATAATATGAATTTAAAAAAAATCATATTTACACATGATAATAATAAGTTATCTAGCGAATTAAAAAAAAAAAAAAAAAAAAAAAAAATTTTTCTAACCTTAAATGAAGAACATTTATTGAATACTTTCTATTATTTAAATATTATAAAAGATTTAAATAATTACGATAAAAAAGAAATGTTATATGTATTAAGTCGTCTTTTTGATTTTGAAAAACTAAGTAAAACATTTAGTATATATTTTAATTTAAATTATAATTTGAAAATTTTTAATACAGTATTTAATAAAATAGAAAATAAGGAAAACATAAAGAGCATAAATGTGAAAGCCATTTATTATTTAATAAAAAAGTGTGTTAATAAAAAATGGAGAATTATGAAAAAAAAAAAAAATAGAGATATAATTTTTAAATATTATTCTGAGAAAAAACTTAAATACGAAAAATATACCAAAGAAAATAATAGTCATCATAAAAAAAATAGACATAAAATGAAACATTCAAAAAACTATGATATAATTGAAAATAACGAAAATACAAAAAAAAAATTTTATTTTTTATTAAAGGAAACCTTAGAAGTTCATAATTTTTTTAAAATTTTTTATAATGAATACATATATAAGAACAAAAATAGAACATATGTAAGAAATTTAGTAAAAGAAAGCTTCGATATATGTTTTTTATTTCTGAAATTTTGTTTTTATTATATTCAGATGAATAATGTATCTACTGTTTTTAATAAGTTAATCATTCATAATTTTATATATTTAAAACAGATTGATATAATTAAAAAAGATCCTTTTATTTATAACAATATATGTATTCCATCTTGCGTTCATGCTTTTATAAATATATTGAAATTTAATTATAAAAGCGAAGCGTTTCACTCTATAAGGAATTACAAAACGTTTTTATTAAAATTTATTTTTTTTGGTATATCTTATTATAAATTAAAAAAAAAAAGTTATGACTTTTATACGAATAAAAAAAAATTAAATCATATATGTTACTTTACCCGTGATGTTATAATAAATGCCATTGTAGATTTATTTGAAAAAAAATGTAATGATAGAGATAAAAAAATTTCAAAAAAGGAAAATATAACTTTATCAATTGAAAAAAAATGTGCAAAAAATAAAAATGTATTAAAAAAAATAATTAATAGTATAGATATCAATATACCACCATTTATTATAATAAATAGTATAAAAACAAATTGGGTATATTTTAAAAATTTTATGATATTATCTAATATGTGCTCGTATTATAAAGGGTTTTCTTATATTTATCCTGATATATGTTTTGAAATAATAATTAATTTTAATAGAGATAAAAATATTGAAAATATCCCTTTATCAAAAAGAGAACAAAAAAATTGTTTTGCTCTTTGTTTTGTTCCATTATGTAATATTTCTTTTAAAAATAAAATTAAGAAAAAGAAAGTTTTACACTTCCCTTTTAATCATAAATTACTTAAATATTTTAATGACAACATTATAGTAAAGAAAGAAAAAAATAGTCACTTACTATTTCAATTATTATGTAGGAAATTTTTTATTATGCTTAAAAAATTTTTAATGTATTATAAAAATGAAAATTATAAAATTGAAGTAGATTTTATTTTTATACTATTAAATTATGTAATGGATATATATTATTTAATGTGTTTTGAGAAAAAAAAAATTTATTCTTCTAACGAAAATGACATTGTTATTACTAATAATATGTATTCCATCAATGAAGGAATTAAGTTTAAAAAAAAAAGAATTAAGAAAATTATTTTTCATATTAATCAAAATAATGTTATATTTAATTCACTCTTTTTTCTTTGGGAAGATATCAAATACAAAAAAAAATATTCTTTAAAAAATAAATATATAAGATATTTAAAAAAAAATTTGTTTTTTTCAATTGTATGTAAATAATTATAAAATATATAAATAAAGTTATTTTAGTATTCTTGTTTTGATAATTATAATATATATATATATATATGTATATATTTATTAATGTTCAATTAGCTTCCTTACAAATAAAATAGTATATATTATTGAAATTATATAAAAAGATATTTAAAAAAAAAAAAAAAAATCTAAAAATATAAAAATGCAAATATTTTAGTTACTAAAATTTTCAATTTTTTTTTTTTAATTATTGTTCTTTTTAGTTTTTTTTCAAATTAACTTTTTTAATACATACATCTTGTTAATATGAATATTATTTTTAAACGTTTGTTTTATTAAAATCTCATTTAATTTTATTTTACACATTACTTAATTTATTATAAATTATATATTTTAAAGAAAATTACATGTAAACTATTTTCTTATAAAAAGAATATTTTATATATAAATATATGTATAAATAAAAAAAATGAAATCTATAAAAATAATTTATAAAAATGTAAAAACATAAATGTACTATATTTTCCTTTTAATAAGAAAAATGCTATTATAAAATTAAAATAAAATATATTTGTATATTTAATTAAAAAGGAAATAATGAATTTGAATGAGTATAATGTAAGTTATAGCAAAAATAATGAATGTATCACCAAAAAAAAAAATATGAAAAATGAAAGTGATATTGATAAAATTTTTACTATAGAAATAAAAGATATATTGAAAAATTCTACTAATGAAAAAGAAATAAATGATACTATAGAATTTGTTACTGATAAAATTAACACATTAAATAATTTTATTAATAAAATTGCAAAAGAAAAGTATGAATATTTTTATAAATATACTGATGAAATATGTAATTTAAAAGAAAAAATTGAATGGAATTCTTGCGAATTAGAAAATATTCAAGAAAAATATAATATAAACAATGAAGCTTTGAAAGAAAATAAAGATAAATTATTATCATTAATTAAAGAAAAAAAATGTTTAATTGATATAGATAAGATTTTAAAATTATATATAATAATAAATGAAGAATTAAAAAAATTAAGTTATGAAATAAAAGACAACAAAAATTTCGAAATTTTTAATTTTTTGAAAGAGGAAGATATGGGTTGTAACGGATGTTTTGAAATGATAAATATTGATAATATTAATTCATGTATTGATAATGTTAATTCATGTATTGATAATGTTAATTCATGTATTGATAATGTTAATTCATGTATTGATAATATTAATTCATGTATTGATGATATTGATTTTGAAGTTTTCATGAAATATATAAAGAGGTTAAATAATTTAAAAAGGTTTGTAGTTTATAATAATGTTCAAAATATATCTATAATTAAATTAAAGATAAAAAAAATTAATTATTATGAAAATTATATAACAGATATATTTGTTAAATATTTATCGAAAAATTTTTATAAGGATGAAAATTATGTAAGTAAGGTAAAATTTTGCTTGAACGCTTTCAGTTATTTGAATGTTGAAAAAGAATGTTTAAAAAAAATAGTGAATAATAAAATTAACAAAATATCTTTATATATCTCTAATATAAAAAAAAACAAAAATATAAAAGAAAATTTTTTTTTTATTATAGAAAATTGCAAAAACAATATTTTTCAAATTTATTACATAAATGAAACCATAAAAAATAATTATGTGAATAATATAATAAAAACTGCAAACATTGAAGAAGAAATATATGATTATAATAGTAGTTGTACAAATGAACAACCTATTGATAAATGTTATACAATAAATATATATAATGATTTTTATTTGCCTTATATTAACATATTAATAAAAAATAAAATTAACGAATATATAAAAAAAGAAAATATTCTATATGTTTTAAATTTAATTGAAGAATTTTTACATATAACTAGGAATAAAAATGAATTTAAATTTCAAGAAAAAGATTTGTTATTAAGTTTATTCAGTAAAGAATATGAAGAAATTACTTTCAATTCTATTAATAAATTAGCCAATTTAGTAGAACTACTGTTTGAAAAAAAAAAATTAAGCGATAATGTGGGATTTGAGTATGATTATAATTTTCCGACCATTTTTGATATAAAAAATTATGTTATAGAATTATATAAAGAATTATATACACATATTTTTTATCCTTATTTATTTCGTAAAATAATTGTTTCTTGTAATAATTCTTTATTATTATTAAGTAACAATTTAAACAATTTAAAACAAAATATAAATTTTCATGTTGAATTAGATACAAAAAAAAAATATATAAATTGTGAATATATTTATAAGAATTTCAAATATAATTTAGAGCTTTATTTAGTTGGAAGAAAAATTCTTAAATATTTGATATTAAATTTAGAGAAATTAAAAAGGAAAATATTAGAAATAAAAAGATATACATATAAAAAAAGAAATGTTGATTTACTTAATGGGAATTGTGATTTAACTAATTTGTTACAAAAAAAAGAGAATAATGAAAATATTCCAAATTATATAGATAATAATTTAATTAGTTTTTCATTTAGTGAGTCTTTTGATGAATTTTTCAACTTTCAGGATTATTTAAATAATTATTTTTTTAATGTAATAAATATGAGAGATGATGAACAAGAAGATTTTACTGAAACTGAAAACTACAGAGAGAAAAAGAAAACAGAAGTAAAAAGATTAATAGAAAAAGAAGATGAGAAAATAATGGATGATTTGGAGAATAGAAAAGATAAACAAGAACCACATCAATTTGAAGAAGAAAAACAGGAAACAGATGAAGATGAAAAAAAAAAGTTAAATAATTTTGAAATTAATTATATCACTGATGTTAAATATAACTCTTTTAATTCGAATGAATGTTATTATCTTAGTGATGAAGAAAAAGAAGAAAATTATGAAATAAACTCTTTTTTTATTAAAGAGAAAAAAAAAAAAAAAAAAAATTTTTTTGATTTACTTGAATTAGAAAAAGGAATATATGAATTAAATAATGTAGTGAATTCATGCATATATGAATGTTTTGAATGTTTTGAGAAAAAATCCTTATGGTATTTTAAAGATAACTGCAATGTTTTAAACACAGATGAAGTATATTCACTATTTGATCAACTATGCATTTACTTTAATAATAATGTTGTTAAACGTATTCCATTATCTGAAATACAACAAATGATAACTAATTTAATTAATAAAATAGTAATTTATATAGTTTCCTTATCTTCTTTTTATTTAATTAATAATATGGATATTTATATATTCAAATATTATGAATCATTACTAAAAATAACAAATAATGAAATGTTATCATCTTTGAATTTTGAACAAAAATTATGTAATCTTTTTAAAAAATCAATAGATATAAAAAATAGAAAAGAAGAATATAAAAAAATTCCTTCTTTTTTTTTACCTATAACATTTATAATTTTACATGGAGGAAAAAGCATAGTGAATTATTTAAGTATGAAAATATATAAAAAAAATATATATATATATATATATATATATATATATATATATATATATATTTATATATATGAATTTAAATAACATTAAACTTAATTATTAAAATTTAATAATTTAAATTAAATAAAAGAAAAAAAATTATTAATGAATATATATATGTACAAATTAAAAATACATTAAAATTGAAAGAAAAAGAAAAAAACTAAAAAAACATGAATTTTTTTTTTTTTTCCTTTTTTCCTTTATAGATATAACAGAAGAAAAATTTATTAATCTAATAATAGATTATTTAAAAGATCCTTTACAATTAATGAATAAAAAAAGTAACACAAATCAAAATTTAAATTTTGTTCTCAATAGATTTGCCAAAAATATGGTGGTAAAAGATAATTTCATTAAAACATAGAAATTTTTTGAATGAAATATTAAATATACCTTTAACAAACCATTAAAAAAAATTAAAAATACAAAAATTAAGTATTAACTATTTTAATATATTATTACATTACGGAGATATATGTATATATATATTTATACTTTTTTTTTTTTTTTTTTTTTTTTTTTTTTTATGATTAATTTAAATATAAAAAAAACAATCTTTTTTGTTCTTCATTTTCAAATTTTGATGGAACAAAATTTTTTTCATTTAAGATTATTATTTTATCATAGTTTTCTTTTGGTGTTGGATCTTCTACATATTTATAAAAAGCATGAATACTAATTGTAGGTATATCTTTAATTTCATTTAATTTATCTGTAATTAATTTAAAAGCATTTAAATGAAATACTAAATCTTTTGGGTAATTAAAATAGATAGCTTCAATTTTTATATTTTTATTTATTTTTTTAGCTTCATTAATGTAAATTAGTCTGTCATTTACAGATTTATTAACATTATCTATTATAACACTTTTCCCTTGAATAATACTTTCCTTTAAAGCTTCTAGACATTTACTTTTTGTTTTTAATTCGATTGTACTAATTTTAATAAAATAAGGAAAATAATTTTTGCATAAAAATGTCTTTCCACAACCAGGAGGTCCTATTAAAATAATTAACTTTTGACAATCATTTTCTTTAGAATTTTTTTTTGTAAATTCTGGTATTATATCTTTTTTTTCTTTTCCTATAATATCATCAATTTTTTCTTCATTTTTTTCTTCATTTTTTTCTTCATTTTTTTTTTCATTTTTATTTTGATCTATAAAGTAAGGGAATTCATTTATATTTTCTACATTTTTAGTTAAATTTCTTGGTTCAAAAGAAAAATTAGTTGATATATCATTTTTTAAATTTAAAAATAATTCTTCAGGTGTATAAAAAGTTGCATTTATATTTAAAGCAAATTTCAGATCAGTATCAGTATAGTCCTTTTTTAATTTTTTATAAATTTCATCTATATTTATTTTTACATTATTTTTAGCATATATATATTTTAAATGATTAATAAATATCATTTTAAAATTATCATCGTAGATTCTATTAGCATTATCTCCAACATAAATTATCTCTTCTATTTCATGGTTGTTATTCTGTTTAGCAAAATTATACATTCCTATTCTTGGTTTTCTATACTTATCATTTTTTAAAGCTAAATAGCATTCTAAAGGTATACCTATTTTGTCAATAATATTATCAAATCTATTTATAATATTTAATAAACTTATCTTGCCAGTACTTACCCCTTTTTGATTAGAAAAAATTATTATTTTATAATTTTCCGAATATTTTTTTTTTAAAAATTCTATAACGTTATCTGAGTAAAAAATATAGTCATATTCATTTTGAGCAGGTTTAAAATATGTCCGTGATAAAATTAATGTGTTATCTAAATCAAATGAATATATTTTTTTATAAATTGTATCTTCTTTATCTTTAACAATACGATATAACAAACTATCTTCTACCTTAAAAAAAATAAAATAAAATAAAATTATATATACTTTTAAAATAAAAAGTAATTTGCTTTTTTCTCTTTATATATTTATAAAATGTTTTACTATATTCCACTTTTTATTAGGTAAATTAAAATGAGATATGCTCCTTTTTTTCATTATATGAATAAATTTTGAAAAAAATTTCAAATTTATGTACTTTATTTATATATCTTTTTTTATATACTTTTTTTTATATACCCTTTTTTATATACTTATTTTTATTTTTTTATACACAAAAAAAAAAAAGATGGAACATGTAATTTATCATATTATTTAAGAACATTAATACAACTTTTTCTTTTTTTAAAGAAATTTTAAAATTATTCATTAGAAATAAAATAACAAATAATATCATAAAAAATTAATAACACTTTTATAAAATTATAGTTATTTAACAATTATTATTTTTTACATAATTTTTATTATGTATATGAACATATATTTTTATTTTTTTTTTTTTTTAGTTTTAATGAAAATACAAAAAAATTTGTTAAAATATATAAAATACAAATATATTTTTTTTTCTTGTTAAAAGAAAATTTCATAGGTTTATTTTTATTTAAAAAATAAAAAAAAATGTAGTATTATTATTATTCTCTTTTTTTTTTTTTTTTTTTTTTTTTTTTTTTTTTTTTTTTTTTTTATTTATAAATATATAATTATTAGGGTATTTTTTTTTTTTTTTTGTATGAGTTATTTAAAATTAAGAAAATAAAACACAACATTTTAGTATAGTATTAATGATAATAATAATAATGGAAATATGATTAAAATAAAAGAAATAAAATTCCTTTTTAATTTTAAAAAATTATATATGAGTTCTTATTTAAATTATAATAAGTATACAATAAAAAGAAAAACATATATAGCAGCTGTTGAAAATAAATACACATATATAATATTGTTAAATAATATAACTCACATTGGTGATAAGGGAGAAATAATAAAAATTAAAAGAGGATGTGCTAGAAATTTAATTAAAGAGAGAAAAGCTGTTTATGCAACTTATGAAAATGTTGATAGCTATGCTGATAAAGAAAAATATAAAAGAAGTCAAAAAGTTGATATAAAAAAAAGTGTTCTAATAAAAGAAGATTTTGAAAAATATTTTACACAATTAAGAAATATAGATATAACAATTTATTTAGATACATATAAATACACTAATAATGTTTCATATAACTTGTATGATTTTTTTAATTACATTTCTAATAATTATGAATTAGACTTAACTCATAAAAATTTACATAAAATTAACTATTACAAAAATAGAGAAGATTATAGTAATGATAAAAAGCAACAAATATATTCGGATACAACTAACATTAATGATTTAATAATTCAAACTAACTCACCTTTTAAATATACTGGAATTTATGTTATATATTTTTATTTATTTTTACCAAATGCTAATTTTCTAAATGAAATCATTTTTAGGATATCCTCTCTTCAAGAATATGAGTAATTTCCTATACACATATTTTATTTTTTTGTTATATATATATATATATATATATTTTATATTCATAAATAAATCCTAAATACAATTTGTATTTTCTTTTTAAAATGTATTTCTCATTTTTTAATATTTTATTATATTTTTATATATTCATGATAATTTTTTTTTTTTTTTTTTTTTTTAGATTAATGAAAAGTGAGAAAAATAAGAAAACAGACATTGTCTATAGTATTGATCAATGAATTAAATAAAAAAATTAATAAGATAA